TGGCTAGATTTGTACAGGCATCAAATTGATGATGACATTAGATGCACTTTGGTAAAGGACGTTATTGCGAAGGTCTAGCAGCAGGGAAGTTGGGATATGGTATGGGTGGTGTAAAGGTCAATGTTAGCTAATCAGAAAGTGACCAAGAAAGCAGACAGAATTTGATCATTTTTCTGTCATGTTACAAAGCTATTTTCTGTCATACCTGCAGAAGGTATGGAGACATTCTCTGAGCACGATGCCCTCTCCTGGCTGCAGATTACTGAAGCAAATTGGACAATCTGCCTCGTTGGCATTTGGGATAAGGTTCTGTTCTTCTGTTGCCAACAAGTGCAAATAGTTCTCTTCTCGTTCCATCCGCTGAGCCTTTATCACAGAGTAGCATGCGCAGCAGAGGTTCAGATAAACTGCATGACTCATTACAAACATAGTAATTTAGCTTTTCCCGAAGATAGAAAGTGAAAGCTGAGAAGTTTTATTGTGGCCCGAAAGTCCGCTCTCATTATTCTTTAATGGTAATGTGTGGCAAATCATCTAGGAATAATGCGTAGTTTAAAATGTGGAATTTAAACAAAAAAGTGACACAAAAACAAGATTTAATGAGTTAATTAAACTGATGGTTTTTCTCTTTCTTTCTGTCTGTTTCTTTTATAACAAATATACCGATGTTTTAATATAAACATTAAATTTTTCTTTAAAACCTGTCAAGCACAAATCTTATTTCCTATAATATTTCAGGTTTTCCCATGACCCCAGGTGATTAGGGTTATTTCACACATAAATGTGAGACCGTGTTAAAAGGATTTAATTTTAGCTGTTTTTTAACAAGCAGCACTTTTACCTGTTCGTACTGCATCATGGCAAGTGTTTCCTGCTGGATCCTCTTAATCTCCTCCTCATCTGGCTGGTAGATGTCAGGCACAGTGTATTCTGCTGGCCGTTCCCCTCCGCACATCTCACAGCCAGGACGTGTTGGCTTGTTCAGATATGTACACACTGAACAGGCCCATCCCAACTGCATGCACAAAGACATACAATGTTTATACATCTCTAAAACATGCACTACTGTATTTAAACAATTATACGTGCAGGCCCATTGCTAAAGCAGGGTCTAGTTGTGTTCTGACCTGAGGTTTAGGTGCCACAGGAGGCTTGGGTACAGTAGCAGTTTGGGCTCTAGGAGGAAGAGGAGGAGGAACTATCTTCTCACCACCACCTCCATCCAGACCTCTGGGAAACAGCTGCAGTGATTGCATCGACTCCATGATACCTAATAATATATTTTAATTGTATAAAACTTCAGTGTTACGGCATACTTTGCTGTCTGTATTTATCATAGCCAAAGCACTTCTTCTTATCATTCAAAAGGTAAGACAACTGTTTACTACTTACCATCTATACGTTGTTGCTCCTGGTCCAGGTTGTGCTGATGCCGTGTGAGATGAGCAGCATGGGCAGACCTGATAAACAGGAAAGCCTGGTCTCCACTATTTCGAATCCCATGGCTATATAATGTTTCCTGGTCCTGAGCTAGCCGCTTCCCAATCACCCAGCGCTGCAGCAGTGGGTGGAACCCAAAATCTTGGCTGATCTTTGAATATAAAAGAAAAGAAAAAGTAACTCGTCCACTGGAATTTCAATGTGGCTTAACAAAATGCAGTGAAACTTTAAAGACAATAACATAAGCCAGCTGGTGTACTACCACTTCCTAAAGAGTAATAAACACTTTAATGCATAGAAGACATCAAGAATGGTCAGGAGGGTTTTGATCTCTTGTAGCACTGTGGGGCTGTTTTTGTATGAATCGGTGCACAACTTTGCTACTGTGTGTATGTGGTAAGGTTACTATAGTTAACTAACACCAAACTGAAAACTAAAACTAGATGTGAAAAAACTTTTACCTAACTAACATTTAAAAAAAATAATACATACTAGACTTTGGAAAAATAAAACCAACTGAAATGATTTTGTGAACTTGGAACATGAACTCAAATGAAATAAAAAATAGAAAAGAGGAAACATCCTTAGTTTTAGTATTTATTCGTTTGGTAAAAATGTCACGGCCAGGCGGATCAGCTGCACGCTGATCAGCTCTCTCTCTCTCTCTCTCTCTCGCCGGCGCGAAACTCACTGTGGGTTCACGCCCTTGGCCCAGGCCCTCGACAGATAAGACACCTGGGTCTCATTAAGACGATCAGCAGTTAAACCAGGAGGCGACTGCTGTTCATCGCTGGATCGTTGTCTACCATGCGTTAGTGAAGCCAAGCTACAGCAAGTCTAGTTAAGAGTATTTTCCTTTGTGTGTCGTACTTAACCCTGACTCCCTGCCTACAGAGCTTCCTGGATTTTCCCCTGTGTGATTTCTGTGTGGCAGTGTCGGAGTGTGAGCCTGTGATCGTTTGTGTGGATGATCTGAAGAACGCGTGCTTCCCCCCTGGACTTCCCTGGAGACCCCTTCTTCCCTCACTCAGCTGTATATAGCACCCCCCGCACCTTCTTGTATATACACCAGGTGAATTGTAAATAAATCCTTCTTGTGAGCATCAGAACCGGAGTCCTGCGCTTGAGTCCTCCTCCAAACCGTAACAAAAAATTTGTTATCACAGCTTGGCTGAGGAGACTTTGATGAAGATGTTTATTAAGACTTTGGATATCTACAAGAATGAGTCAACTGTTTGAAAAACGTTTTGTGTTTTTAAGGTAATAGGATACTTACAATCTTTATAATACTTATAATGACTTTCCTAACTTTTACCTTTAGTGTATACGTGCTAGACAATAAAACAGTAAAACTAACAGTGAAACTTCTAAAAACGAGACTAAAATTGAAATGAGCAAACTCACTTTGGACACGAAGTCTGAAATAAAGCTGAATTTAAAATAAAAATAGAAAAGACTGCTTGCTGATAAACACTGATATAAACAATACTGAATTGCATTTAGGGGCAAGGCTTTACTGACAAATGATACACTCCATGATACACTCACTGCATTATTATGAGTGGTGCATGAATATTTTTGGTTACAAGAAAACTTCACAAGTAGCCTTTAATAGATCATAGCTCAGCTCCATTTTAGGTTTTATATGTGTAATGTATCATAGGTTGGTAAGAAAATATTTACGTAAAAAATAATAATAATAAAAGAACAGAAGAAAATTGCCTCTTGTGTTGCGTATGCTTTCACATCAGTACCTTGTCTTTTAATTGTGCAATTGTCATGCCAGTAGCAACCTCAAGAATCACAGGGATATTGACTTCTGACTGTCCATCCTCCACTCCAACCTTCAACCTGTAGAACAGGAACAACAGAACATGTCAGCCCTCTACTATTTTCACTTGAACATTCATGTCCATTCATTCGTGTTCTTATTTTGGTATTTCCAGCATGTAACCACAGACAAACAGTCATATATGCATATGTTTTGTTTTTTTGGCACTTTTAATTCTTGTTTACATTGCATGCTTCCAAATTAAAACAGAGATCTAAAAATAAAAAGGGGAACTCTTCCCCCATAAACAGCAGCGTCTGTGGTATTACTGTCATGGAGGCATTTTAAGAAACAGGGAAGTACACACAGGCATATCCCCACACACTGCTGTGTCCCACCTTATGGATTCCTGGGGGTAGATCTGACTGTTGATGTTGACTGACACCCGGACGGAGAGCTGAGTCAGCCTCTGGCACAGTTTAGCTGCTTCTTCAGAGTCCCCGCTGCTGAGGGCTTCAGTCAGAGACCGGGCAAGCTCCTCCGCTTCATCGCGAGCAAAGGAAGAGGGGCGTCACGTGACTTATTGTCAGCATAACTCGTTTTTCTTTAATTCTTCGTATTATCAATTGATTTCTTTCTATCCTCTATGCCAACATACACGTACGTAGCAATGGTAAATGAACATTACGAAATTGATAGTGGCTTTTCTGTTGATTTTGACAATATAAAGCGTTGAGTCTTACCAAAACAACAGTGACACTTTCACAATCTCTACACTAAGAAATCGATAGCAAGCAGTGACACACACAAAACGCTTTCTGTTTTACTAGGACAGCTCTGAGATCTTATAAAACGTAGTTGTCAAGAAGTATTTGGAGTCTTCATAACAAAATCGAAAGTTAATTGAGCTGCTTACCCTCAGTCAGATCGACCCTCGGTGCCACCTCTGAAGCCATTGCTACACGGGAGGTAATAAAATTATTAAGCTGCTTGGCAGCTGTAACGAAACACAGCTGCCTTTAAAACTATTTCAGGCACTACTTCCTCAGTCCTCATCCGACAGAGCCTTTCCAAGTTCGTCTTAAGGTTAAGAAAGGCAGCTATAGGGCCAAAGAGAGCCAAGTAGAAGTCAGAAGTACCACTCTAGCGTCGCTTTCTCACTTCTCAGTCCCTGTCAGGTAGAACGGAAAGTGAAACTGACTCACGCTCAGGAAGAGATATTTTTAAAGGATCGCTTTGGAATTTATTTCGCTCCACCCCTCGTTGACACTTTTTTGTTCCTCTCTAAATCAGTTAAATGCATTATTTTAAAACTAAAAACCACACGAATAAGTCCAAAAATAAATAACAGCCGATGCATGAAATATAATTATAAATTCACCCCCTTTAAAAAACAACAACAAAAAAAACCCCATCTGAAATAGTGACTTCTCGCATCCAGCAGATGGCAGTGTATGTCAAAGGCTGAACTCATTTTAACATTCAGGTTTTACAACTTTGGACCTAATATTTAATTCAGATTAATTACATTCGCTGTATATTTAACTTAAGAACAATGGAAGCCCTTTAAAATAAGTCCTTTTTATCAGTATTAAGATCTCTGGCGATGAATGAGCACTCCGAGGGCAAGTTGGTCGTATATTGCAGCTCTAGTTTTAATACTGTGTCTTTGCGTTCAAACCGAAAAAATAAAAAGATATACAAAGGGTTATGGGAAGATAAGAAGCTTTAGTGATGATCAGTTTAATCCAGATGCTGATAAACGAGCCAATCACAGCGGCTCCAGCAGGAGGGGCTGGCGGGTCTGTTCAGCTGCGCACCACAAAGTTGCAGAGCGTCCCCGAGTCCCCGCCTGCCTGCTTGCACTTGTCATCTCTCGCACCTGGAGCCCTAATCTCGTCCATAGCAACATCTTCATTTTACTTTAGCCTTCTAGACTTCAACAGTTTGATTTAGACGTGTTTCGTTGCGGTCGAAGATGCTGGCTTGTACAGAGATGATCACTATGTGCCTGCAGTCGGCCAAACAGAAGCATCTTCGGGCTCAGCAGCAACAGCAGCCGCCGCACAATGCCGGACAGGGGCTTACTATTTTTCATGATGTGAGTGGATCCGCTCTCTTACTCATGTATTAGTGTTACTGATGCAACACATTGTTGACGCTTTTGCTTTTCATTCATTTTTCTTGTATTTCTATATTAACTGTAAATCTAAATATATTCATTGTTCAAATAATATTAGATTGAATGAAAAAAAAAAGAAAAAAGAAAAGAAAAGATCTGGTCTGAGTTGATATAGTGCTGCAAATTTAAATGTTTTTTCTCTCTCCCCCTTATTTACTTATTACTTTCTAGAGAATTTAGTGGAAATGAAAACTGCATCGTTACAGTATTGTTTATCAGATGTTGTGTGGTGTGCGCCTCGCCATGTACGCGCGTGTGCGTAGGAAAGTAGGAAAAGCTGCAGCTGCAGCTGCTGTCTCTGCATGATAAATTAAGCCCCCAGTCTGACAGGTTTAGGGACTGCTGGGGGTTCTCCTCTTTTTGTTACGCACAGATGCAAACACTTCTGGGCTTTCAGAGGCAATACGTGCATAACAGTGAACCTATTCAATATATATGTATTAAACAAACAAACAAACTAAGTGATCAACTCAAAAATGGTGCTATGATTTATAATGCGCAGCTTACCCTAAGTTGTGCTCAAAACAGTAACAGCCTTATTAACCTGCAATGCTGCCATAGAAACCACCATCCAGCTTGTCATCTTGTTAGAGGTTAGCAGACCAGTGATGTTTCCAAATCTGAGCTCTCACTAGCTTGAAGCTTTCCATTTCCCTTTGACTACAACCTTGTGTAGACAAGGACATTACTTTTGCAGAAATGTCTATTTAAAAGTGTGCACTGTCCCTGAATGGGGTATGTGATTGAAGTGCTTCTCATATTCAGTCTTCGGCCTTGAGCTTTTCTGTTGACTGAGCACTAACACACAAAAAAGACCATTCAGCTTGACGGTTCTATGCTCAAAATATAATTATGCTTAAATTGTTTAAAACACTGTGTGTAGGAGACAGTACTGAATACAATAATAATCAGTCTCAGTCAGAAACGGACATGCTGTCTTGAATTTAAGTGCCATGTTGCTCTGTGCATTGCATTTTTCTCCTGATTCTTTCTTTTTATTGCTTTCCACCTTTATTTGGTGCAGAAGCACCATGTTCCAAGACTGGAAACATTCCTAGCTGTAGATTGACCAAATATTCCCCTGGGACAGCTGAGAGATTTTAAGAATTTTAATCTTTTGTGTTGGTTTGACATTTCCATTAGTACAGGTTTAAGTCTGCATAAAGATTTTGTGTTCCTAAAGTAAAAGCGAGTAATGTGAATCCTTTGTTATTGCAGTGCTACCTACTGATTTTCAAGTGGTTACGAGACATACACAACAGAATGACAGGGGATTAATGACTAAATGCTAATTGATTCAGAACATTTTGTAATTGCTTGTAACAATTAAACTGATTTATTATAAAAGCACGTTGCTTGGTTTTGCATGCAACATATAAGCTTTAATTTGCAGACAGATCTGCACATCAGTGCATCAATTGCAGGATACTGAGCCAGTCACTAACATTAGAGATGCAAAGATTGCAACAAATCAAAGAAAAAGCAAACCTTTAAAAGTGACTGATTGTGCTAGGGTTGTATGAGGCTGTTTCATCATTTACATTGTTGGCTACTCTTCTTAGAGTCTTTGTTTTGTGAATGCAGCAGGCCTGCTTTTCTTAGGCTTTCTTGATTCCTGGCACTTATTTCTGCTTCTTCTCTTCTTTTGCTGCTACTGAGAAAGAAAAATATAATATTTTGGATTGTCACAGAAAGTAAATCATCTGGCATTTACTAACAACAAAGCATATTTATTAGGGTTGTTTTGGTGATGTTATGTCTTTTTTATTAAGCATTGTACCAAGTGGTGTGAAAGCAGAGCCTGAGATAACCCACCGTCTTAATACCCTCCACCATGACATCAGAACAGCAACACAATGGGAAGCAGGTCTGACCTTTCCTGGGCTTGCTGTAAATGATGCATTATCGTCTCCTGACACCGGAGAGTCAAAAGCCACAGCCAAACAACAAACACATTTAACGCTATACCTGATCTTCCTGGAATAGAGGAGGAGTGGAAAATGTTGGCTAGATGGGTCACAGTGCCAAAGTGAAAAAGAACAAGCTGCTGACTGAGATTGTGCAGTGACAGAACCCTAAAGCCGGTACAACATCAAATTTGTATTCATGTAAGATAAGTAGAGTGTTCTGATTGTCCTTTCTATGTGCAATCCAAGTGCAATGTTGCTTTTAATAGGATGAGGAATCAAAAATAGAGCAGCCAGTGTTTCGTGAAGTGAGTCGTTATGACCCGGCTCTTGTTATAAGTCAGGATTGAAGCAGTGGAGAGACAGACAGACACACTGAGGGCACAAGTGCAAACCTTGAGCTTGTTGACCTATAGCAAATTAAAACGAGGACCAGATTCTGCAGGATTAATAAACAGTAGGTCAAAACCAATGAGCACGGCAGTTGTGCTGCTTAACACTGGACATAAATGTCTCAGGGAGTGAAAGAGAATCAATAAAAGAGAACAAATTACCAATCTGTTGTTTTCATTGCAGATCTTGCATTCAAACTCGCTTAATGAAGCTATTGTTTTCTGCTCACCTGAATGACAACCAAGCTGCACACAGCTACAAATGCACATATATGTTTGTTTGTGTGGCTGCATTAATATTTGTGAAATTCTTATTATAGTGCACAGATTAAACTAAAATTGGTTTAAAAATCTAAGTTTCATGTTCATATTTTCAAGACACACATCTCAGTGCACAGTAGACTTGAGTTTTATTTGATTGTGTATTCAAACGCTTTGAAAAATATATTTAGCCTTCACAATAGTTACTTTAGTCGCTGTGTTGTGGCTGTGATCTTTAAATCTAGATCTAAAGCCCTGTTTTACCGCTGTTATTTATTGATGGTGTGTTGGTATAGCTTTCTGTTTTGCTTCTATTTTATGTTGTTTGGTGAAGCCAAACAGTCCACTTTCTATTTTCTGGACAATAATGTTTTCACTGAGCTAAAGAAAAAAGAAATGAAACAAGTAGATTTTTACATGTTGACCAAAAAGCAACTCTTTTTCTCAAAGCAGTCGCACAGGCTTTACAGGATCAACCCTGAGCTTTATCCTGTTGTGTGGACATTTGTCTTTTGCGTGTCAGAAAACAAATGGCTTTCCTCAGTTTTAGTGATTTTTCTACTTTTAGTGAATAATCTATACTGTTGATTTTATCTGATGGGTGTTTTTTTCAGCTTGAGAAGTGGGCTTTTTATAAGTTGTCATTACTGGTGGTTCAAAACTCAGCTAAAAACAAGAAGATTCTATCTTTTTTTAAACTCCATAACAATTATAACAGTAACTACTATCAAACACAGACCAGTTATATATATATATATATATATAGATATAGATATAGATATATATATAGATATATATATATAGATATAGATATAGATATATATATATAGATATAGATATATATATATATATATATATAAAACAAAATCTGTATTTGTTTTGGTGTTTTTTGCTGCAGCTGAGTGATGTGGTGTGTGCAGTCATAGTTTTGTCTTCGTATAGTCATCATTGGTGTATTAAATAATACAACTGACGTAAGTGCTCCATCCGCTACTGTTAATTCAAGCCAGTTTTGTACATGAGAGTCCCCCACGGGGAACAGAATGGAGGAAGCCAAATCTATTAAGATTACACAGCATTGTTTATATACAGCGCAGCATCGTTGTGATTAGACTGATAATCCATGAAATGGCTTCAAACGAACATTGTTACCGCGTTATAAAACTGATACGATGGCTATGTTGAAGTAAGCAAAACAGTAAACTAATGCAGGAGCAGGGCTTTGTTTCTGCTTTTCCTGCTGTCAAATGTTCAGATGCTCATAGTGAAAAAATGATTTAGTGAAAGGTGGACTTCTGTGTTGTTTGCAGACAAAGCTGCATGCCAGAGAAAATAAGCTGCAAGTGGATCAGTGTTTGGAGTCCCCATTATTTGTGACTTACTGTTACTCTTGCATATTATTGCATACTGTATATTTAACAAAATTGTGTATAATACATATAGCAAATGATTATCCTTCTTACTACCTACCATATTGGCCCTCCTAAGAAATTAATGAAAAAGCATCAGTGAGTCAAACAAATAGACGATAAACATAGTGTGGTGTTACCGTACAATTATCACTTCTGAAGTAAATGACTGTTTACTTTAGAATGATAATTGTTCAACCTATTTTAGAACTGACACTATCAATTTGCTTTCAACCTAACATGACTCACTCATACAGAGTATAACAGCCTTTGTAAATGTCCTTCTTCTTGTCATCTTTCTAGTCTGTGCACCAGGATAAACGAACCGCAGGCGTTAAACATCCTATTGTGTTTTTGACAAACTGCCATGATTCTTAATAATTTACACCTGCTTATTGCAAGAATCCCTTCAGTGATCCTATGCTAGAAATAAAAACCATCCTCTCCCCCCTCTTTTTGTTTTCCAGATTTTCCGCAGAGCAGACAAAAACGGTGAGTAAACAGTACATAATATGCTCGGTGATGAATAATTTGTCACAATGCATGCTTGTTATTTCTCCACATCTTTCCCCTTGTTATTATGCCCCAAACAATCTGGATGGAGAAAAAAAAAGGGGGGGGGGGGGAATTTGCATGAATGACTCTTCAAGTGAATCTTCTTTCCTCTGCATGCTTGAATAAGTTTTTCCACCCAATTAAAATTATTCTGAGATTCTGGATTGTAGCCCAAACTTGGAAGAACATGCCACACAAAATAAAGCTTCTTCCTGTCAAACTGCATTGTTTGGGTGCTGCGGGTGCTGTTTACAAATTATTATGAGTCATGTTAACACAGCCGCAGCCAAGATATTTTTTCTAGCAACAAATTTATTGCCAAATGCGTACAGGATAGACTTCGTATTTCAAGAGTTGGACATCTGTACACATACCTATGTCTGTGTCATAATCAGTTGTTTGTTTTACTCATTTTACCTCATGGGAATGGCACAGTCTACCAAGAACTGTGCTACTTCACAATGATACTGTAGCTCCATACTCACTGTCGGTTAGCCGGATCAGTTTGGTCTGAATGCACAGTGAATGCACCTGTAGATGCCTCCTACGTCACACTGTATAGGGCTCTTAAGGGCACCTTGGGTTTGTAAAATTTGGCAGTGAGAAGATATAAGCATTGCAAGCGCTTACTGTAGTTGTTATTTGTGCCAGTAGCCCCGGGAGACTCCAGCATTAATGCATCAATATTATTGGTGCGTGATGTTTAATGCATTCAGCTAATTTTAATGAAATTACTTTTTGTTGTACAGACTTCCCCCTCAGATTGGTTCATTATAGTTTTCATGAGCAATTTTCAGGAAATTAGATTGAAGTGAAGCTGTAGCTTATGCAGTATTTGCTCTGGGATTATTAATAAATTAAGTAAACAGACAAAGATGACTGCAAAAGCGGCTGCCGTGTCTCTTGTATGTGTGTATGTCTCTTGTATTAATTACACCAGAGACTTGTTTTGTTGAGAAAAAATATTTTGTGATTTTGCTAAACTGATATTTGTCATTGTGTCAGATGCAATTTTTCTTTTTTTCATTGAGGCACAAAATGATCCATTTTTATTTTGTGATTGCTTTTGCCAGTGCAACAGAAGGCACGCATTTCTTAGTGTGCAAAGAGAGAACGCTTTTAGATTTAAGATTTATTTACAGACGAAAATACGTAAAAAGACTGGCTCACATCAACATCTACCATACTGGGATGCATCTTGGCATGTATTAAGTGCACAATCGATAATTTTAGGAAAGGCAAAGTTCTGATGGGTCAGCATTTACATTTTTTAGGCCCTAAAAGTGAAAACATAAATAATAATAATAATAATAATAAGAAGAAGAAGAAGAAGAAGAAGAAGAAGAACTGTCCTCTTTTTATGCTCCAACAAAGCTTTGTTTCTTTTTGTTAAATCATTTTTGTGTTTTTAAATAAACAGAACATTGAGACCAATGGAGTCATCTCAGTAATATATATTTTGTAAATTAGGTCAATCTAGTTATTTCATATCCCTTTCTTAAGCTACTCCCTGATTATTGCCCAATAATCAGGGAGTAGCTTAGAGTTTGGAGTCCAAGCTCTAAATAAATTTGTCATGGATGTTGAGGTAATTTGATGCAGGACCTCCAACAGTCAGCCTTGGTAGAGAAATTAGATAAATATTATAATAACAAACAAATGACTAATTTCCAGCTAAAGATTCTCCTCGAGAGTAAGCATGCTGTTAACCACTGTATCTCGTTTCTCTTGTGTTATTATGAAAGGACCTTTGGCTTCCTATCTTACTTTAATTTTCATGCTTTGCTTTTCAGTTTTTAAAGAGCTCTTTAAAATTATCATGAATTTCTATCTCAGTTGTGACTGAAATGCATTTCTACTTTATGTAGTTTTTTTACATTTAACTTTTTCAAGGGAGTTACTTATTCAAACATTTTTGTTATCAGAAACATGTCTACTTACTAAATGGTTTTGAACATTAAGGACTGCACATTTAGTCTGACCTATGATCAGGTTCAAAAGGTAAACTTTTGCTTGTCTGTTAACATCTCATACTCGGTTTTCTTTTTCTTTACCTCAATTCCAAATATCTTCTTCTGTTTTTGAAATGAAATCAATTGAATAGTCTTGGGTATATATTCATTTTTATTGTATGTATTTTATTGTTTTCAATATAGTACAGTATAGCATAGGATAGGATAGGCTAGGATAATTCCATCCATAATGTAAAATAATACCATTCATCTAACAGAATCAAATGCTTTTTGGCATATAGATTGTCACCAGAGCCCTATGATTGAGGAAAAAAACACATGTACAGCAGGTTCAGCACCCTTACTGCTCTGTAAGAGAGATATATTTATTTCTAACATCAGATGAAATAACATGCCAAAGCAAATCAAGAAGAAGTGCACATCAGTAGGACATTATTGCGTATACAGGGTCTACCTCCACACAACAATTACTTCTCAGCAGCTCTTAACAATCTCCTATGACAGGAATTTGACATTATGAATTGTTCTGTTGCTTCCAGCCAAATGTATTCTCTGTTTCGTTATAATGACAGAAAAACTCAAAGAAAATATTCTCTCCTACAACCCCTGCTAGTTATTTTTCATTAGTAATTGAAATATAAATCCCACTGGAATTAGGCAAAGAATATAATATGATGACACCGTCAGAATGCACTGAATAATAGAAACGTGGTAGTTACTAAGCACGTCCTGTCTTGGTAAAACTTATAAAGTGTTACTATGGTTATAGTAACAATGATGGATAATAAACCTGAGGAAATAGTTATTAGAATGTCTCTGTGTAAATATCTAAAAAATATTAGCAATATTATAATTTATGTTTAGTTTTGTCTTGGATGTATAATAAATGTACATTATTATTCAATATCTTATATATAGTGTCTTGTGTCATAGCTCATATGGTATAACAATTGTATTTCTATCACACCTGCTGATACAACCTTTTATATAGTATATTTTTATATACTATGCGTTATGTATTTTTTTACAGTTGAGGTGTATTTTAACCCACACCATGATCTTTCCTGGAAGTTAAAAACTAGTTTCTGTGCATATGAAGTGAATAATAGAAAATGAGAATAAATGGTTAAAAAGAGCTAAAATGAGACCGAATATTGGGCACGTTTTGGTTAGACAGAAACCAGATTTAATGAAAAACAAAATCCGAAAGTAGCTTGACATTTCAAGCAGTTACTCCTAGTTAAACAGTATGCTGTAAAGACTTTGAAGCTATATATATAAATAAATAAAACTTTCTCTCCATTACTACTCCTGAAAAGAATAATTTATGGACCTTAATTTGGAATAGCTTAGACAGCTATTCCAAATTAAGGTCCATAAGAGAAAAAAATCTTATAGTTTTTAACTTAAGTTAAAATCATGATTCAAAAGTTTTATACTGCAACTGCATCCTGCTTTTAATGACTACTCTGAGACCAATGTGCATGAAATCCTAAGAATAATTTAAATAACCCCAACTTTTCTTATGAAAAAATGTTATTTCTCCATATTCAGCAGATCACACTTGCAGTGTTATGACTGAAGATGAAACCTCATCTTTCTTCTAACATCTGCTCTGTGGTGGATAAGACCTGTCAGCGTTATGTTATTACTGAAGTGGAGAATCAATAGGTTGTTTGTTCTAAAAGCAACTTAAGTTGGAATATGGAAGATATAGAGCAGCTTTAGACTTTCTCACAGGTGGCCAGGTGGAACACATCCTAAGTAGAGCATTTGTGCTAAGAATACCAGAATCTGTAACGATGCGGGCATTTTAGTGCATAGAAGTTTACCAAAAGGAATCAAGACCCATCTTTCCTCGTAATGCTTGTTGCTATTGAAGTGATGCATTCATGGGGAATTTATAAACCTCTTAGGAGAGTCTGCAATGGGACTAACCTTTGGAAAGATATGAATGTGCCCTACTTTGTGCCCTACTTTACAGGACGTACTCACTTTCATGTTCTTGTTTACTCTTGCCTTGTGAACACTTTGTTATAGTAATCTGACTTTTATAAACTAAAGTAAAGAGAAAAGGTTATATATGATCAGGCCGTGTCCCATTAGCTTTTTAAAAAAAAAAAAAAGCAGCACTTTCTTTCTTTGGAAACATGTTTTTTTTACATCTTGAAACTCCTAAGTGATTTTTCTTTCTAATGAAGAACAATATATGCATATTGCTTTTGCCCCAACCGTCAGCATGATTTAAAGCCGCTTCCTTTTATAATGGAATTTTCTCTACGACGGAGTGTTAAATGGAGGCTTTGGCTATTTAAATTTTGGTTCACTTTAAAGGGTTGTTTTACACACTCAGCTTCAAATATTCCCCTCCACATCTCTGTTCAACACATTTGTTGTTTTCAAATGAAACAGCTGCACTGACAACTGCTTCGGTGATAAATGGTTAGAGTGTGGGTTCGGGTCGGGTAATGCCCATTCTTTTTACGATTCTCCCTTGTCAGCAAGTTGTAATCCTTGCATAGTTTCCATGTAGTCTTTTTGTCCTTACTTTCTGAACAGAAATGTCTTATTTTAAAAACACCCTGACTACACGAATAAAAAGTTAAAAGTATCATGCCTCATGTAAAATGCATCGAAGGTATTTTGTCTGTTTCAGGCAGCTCGTGTGTTCTTTAAAACCAGGACAAAAAACACGCAGACAGTGATTCATTTTGCAGACTGTGGTTTCAATTATTCAACATCAAAGTCATTGTTTGTTCTCTAAAAGTTTGTTCTCTGAAAGCGTTTCTGGACTGGCTGCTGTAAAATCGCATTAACTTCACATTATCTGGAAACATGACCATTACAAAGCCTCAGAAGTCATGTTTTTTAGGAAGGGAGATCTGCTTAGACACCGTATATGCCAGTGGGCCATGCGTGATTTATTAATTTAAGGACATCAGCTGATACTTGGTTTGTGAATGTTTAGTAGCTAGAGACTGTAGCTGATCTAGGAACAACCTCCTTCTAAACGTCAGTAAGACAAAGGAGCTGATAGTGGACTTCAGCACTAAGCAAGAGAGGAACTACCAGACCCCTGTCATCAACGAGTGCCCAGTGGAGAGAGTGGACAGCTTCAAATACCTCGGAGTTCACATCACGCAGGACCTGTCATGGTCCTGTCACATCAACACTGTGATGAAAAAGGCCCGACAGCGTCTCTACCACCTCAGACGCTTGAGAGACTTCCAACTGAACTCCAAGGTGCTCAGGAACTTTTACTCGTGCACCATAGAGAGCATCCTGACGGGAAACATCTCAACCTGGTTCGGGGACAGCACCATGCAGGACAGACGAGCTCTACAGAGGGTTGTGCGGTCAGCTGAGTGCACCATCCGCTCCGAGCTCCCTGACCTGCACTCAATCTACAGCAGGCGGTGCTGGACCAAGGCCAGGAAGATCGTGAAGGACCTCAGCCATCCCAACAACGGACTGTTCTCTCTGTTGAGGTCAGGAAAGCGATTCCGCTCCCTGAAGACCAACATAGAGAGACTGAGGAGGAGCTTCTTCCCGCAGGCGATACGGTCTCTCAATCACACCATCACATAGTACTGACCCACACATATGGTTCTTACACACACACTGGACATTCTGGACTTTGTTTACACTAATTCGATTAGATGCGTGGTCATCTAATCGAATCACTTCATCACTAAATCACTTTAAGCATATTTGCACTGCACAAGACGCTTACAAATGTGGATTGCACAACACTGGTCATTATATTTCTTCATTTCCATTTAATACTTGTACAGCTGCTGTTATTGTATATATATGTTTATATTTCTTCATACATTCTTATATATTTCTATACTGTGTATTTGTGTATTTTGCTGTACAGTTATTTTATTTTCAACTTTAATTTATATATTTTATCTTATTCTTTCCCAGTTAAATTTACCCTTCATTCTAATCTGTTGTTGTACAGTTATTTCATTTTTAACTTTAATTTTTATATTTTATTTTATTCCTTCCTAGTTCAATTTACCCTTTTTAATTTTTCATATTTATTTCCTATCTTATTCATAGGCTTTTTTTTTTCTTTAGGTCACGAGCAGTTGTGTAAGCATTTCACTGCATATCGTACTGTGTATGACTGTGTACGTGACAAAAATTTGAATTTGATTTGATTTGATCTAATAGGACTGTAGAGGATGAAAAGAGCAAATGGAAGTCAGTGGCATTTTAGTGCACCTGTAACCGGATGATGTCACTAGAAGGTGGGCTGGCCCAAATTGACAGAAGACGGAACATTACATGAACTTATATAAACTTATAAACACCAGTAAAACTATTATATGAACTTTGGGGCCTTTTATACAGCACCCCTTTCTGTTATATAAAACTCAACACTGATTAATGGCTGGAAGACTTCATTCATTTTAGTGGAATGTGAAAAAGATGCTAATTTAAACTAGGTTATACTGTATGTACTCATGTAAAATGCAGTTCACATAGTTTATTCTCCCACGAGGAGGGGAAGAGAAGACATTTCCTTCAATACTTCCTGCTCTTTAAGTGATCTCAAGGCAAACAATGCAACTGTATAATGTATCATAAAGGATCAACATCATTTTAGAGTAACACTTGGCTGTACAAGAATTTCCCATTTTAGAAATAAGTGCTCCAGCATCCACTGTTCTCATCTTTACATCCATCAGAGGAGATGGATGTGTCAGATATGAGGATGGAACCAGATGTTTCCTGACGCTTAGACATATTTTTTTAATCTTTTGATGTCTTCTGTCAGGATTATTACGGATTTTTTAATTAATTTAATGCTGCAAACATAGCTGTAATGTAAACATGCAAATCTGCATGTTTTTACAACTTATACTCCTTATGTCTCCTAAGACAGGTCAAAAAGTCAAGGTAGTGCTGTGCCCTGGGTCAGGATGTCATTGACATCAACTCAAAGCCTTTGAAAAATGATGATGTTCAGGCTTGTGTATTTGTCTGGGTTTTTTCCTTTATGATAGAGACATTTAACCCAGAAATGTCAAAATGAACAGAGGAGACTGCTACTTGCTGTCAATTGGTAATCAAATGGAGAAGTGTTGCTGCTGATCCTTGTTGCTGTGTGTCTTGTTTGGCACTCCATGAAGAGGAATCTTTCCGAGTACAGCGCTGTGACATGTGGCAGGATCTACAGTCTTTGGGTCAACATACTGAGCACAGACGGCATCAAATTATAAGGAAATTACATAAAGTATATATAAGTGGAACAGCACATATGTCTATTAAAATCTATTAAAAGAAGGCCAGCTTTTAATATGTCATGCTTTTTTTCTAACCAAGAAAACATCAATCACTCTTTCAACATGCACATCAACTAAAATGTGATTTTTAATATGAATTAAAAATTTTCCAAGATACTAGTACATGTGTGGTGATCCAAATGATTTATAGTACGTAAGAGTTCTTTGTATTTTGACAGAGAAAACAAAGGCAGTGAAAGAGACTGGAAAAAACAAAAGACACTTTTTGTGTGACAAAGAAGATTTGATTTTGATTCGAAAAAAAATGTGGGCCAAAGTGGCGAGAGCAGCTTGTTGTCTGGACCAACACATTACACATTCTGGTCAGAGGTAATGTTGAACAGTGTCAGTATGGGTCCACTTGAACAGATGGTCTTCCAGCTTGCCCTTGAATTGCCAGCTTTGCTGAGCCAACCAAGTGGAATGGCATATTAAACCACTCTCCTTTTGCCTTGTCTTTGCATAGACAGGGTTTGATTACTCAGGGGGTTAGAAGCCAAATTTTAAAAGTGTGAAAGTGTGAGTTTCGTAGCTGCCCTGATTTTGCCCTGATATGACTCTCTGTGCAAAAAACTGTCTATTTGGTGGATTTACCAACCTCATATCCATACTTATTTGTGCATATGACTGTCTTAGCTGTATTTCATCATTCTTTATTGTAATGTTACTCAGGTGCATTGATTAATTATGTCTCCAACTCCTTCGAGTATACTTTTGCTTCCCTTTTTAGGTAAATATGCCTAGTCTATTTATTCAGCTGCACTTAAAAACATCTAGCAGCTTCTTTCTGGCAGGCTAACTGCTGACTGATCTGTGTAATCTGTGCTTGCAGACTGATTTATAATAGGCTCACGAAGGAACACTTCTTCACAGATGACAACCAAGCTATTTATCATCTGCTATTGATTTTCCTGTGCATTGTCACAAAAATCTGTGCTCACTGTTAACTAGTCTGAGCAGAATGAGAAAAAATTCAATGTGCTCACCATCTGTAGTGCTTTTACATTTATATTTTGTGAAACACGTATGCATAGTATTAGAATTTAGTTTTTATCTGTTAGAACATTCATATTTGTTTTTGGTTTTTTTGCTTTTTACAGACACGCGTCATATTTACATGTTTAAATAAGTGACAATTCTTTTCAAATATGACTTATTACTTTATCAACAATTCAAGCCATAATAGATAGATAGATAGATAGATAGATAGATAGATAGATAGATAGATAGATAGATAGATAGATAGATAGATAGATAGATAGATAGATAGATAGATA